CGAAATCGCTTCGAAAATTAGGATATCCAGGGAGCGCGGATCCGGATAAGGATAGTAAAATCTAGGCTCCATGAAAAAAGATTCGGATCCGGATAGCAAAATTTTAAGGTCCGGATCCGGATGCATTAAATATATTAAAAACATATATATTACATATCTATTAAACTAACTTTATATAAATAAATATATATAAAAATTTATTTTAGTTCTTTTCATAATAAATTATATTTCTAATGACACCATTTAAAATATTAACTAACAATTTTTAAAAATATATTTTTATTTATTTATTAATTATTTTAATTATTTTTAATATTAATTTCGGATCCAGATCCGGATATTCGCGGATATCCTGATTTTTGGGCGGATATCTAGAGTCCGGATATCCGGAGGTCACGAATCCGGATAGTTTTTCCACAGATCCGACGATTCCGGATCCGGATACCTTGAAATTTCAGGATATCCGGAATCGTCCCACCCCTATACTCTGGTACTAGTATAATGTAAAAATTGATTAAAAAAAAATTGGATTAGAAAGTTCTTAAAATCCAAGTTCTAAGAATAAAAAAAAAGTTACCATTTTGTTAGAAGAAAATTAACAGCCAGACAGAATTTTAATAGAAGCCAAAATTTAAAATAATACAAAGACTCCTGTAATTGACCGGTCAGATTCAATCTAATGCAAATAAAACAGTAGCACATCTTCACCCCTCGTATACTTTCAAATTAGAAACAAACACACTCGCAAAGACCAAACTTATCAGGTTTCTTCTCTGGTCTAGAGACAAAGACATATTTAAAAACAAAACAAAAAAAGATCAACGCATTGTAAAGTGACTTAATTAGTAAATTCTCCCCTTCTGATGTAACTTTGGTTCTCTTTACAATCAAACTAGTGCAGCAGCAGCAAGAGAAGCTTTTGGTGGCAGCAAAAAAAGAGACAAGTTCCAAAAGTTGTTACATCAACCTCGTCCACGGCCTGCTCCTGCTAACACAACACAACATATGAAAGTTTAGCATAAGTCCCATCGTGCGGACAAAACTACCAAAAAGGTCAGTACGGATTTTGGTGTATTCTTGTAAAATCAAAGTTTTGTATCAGCTTTGGTTGTGTGTTTCTACCTCTATTTCCAACCATCTTCCCCACTGAACCTCCTCGGCCTCGGCCTCTGGCCCCTCCATCATCAATACCGCGTCCTCTTCCACGTCCTCCACCCCCTGGGGGTTTCCTATCTGCACATATTTAACCATTGTTGACAATTATGACAAACAGTTTGCTTGCGTTTGGAAACAAAACCCCCAGAATTGAAAATTCCATAATTCTTGCCATTGCTAAACTCCTGAACAACCTAATGATAGACATGATCTACAGCGAGAACTGACAAGGAACTTCAAACAAACCCCATGAATAGGGTCAGCACAGATGGCCTTGGCTAATACAAGGCTCAAGCATACTTAGCAAGATTGCGATTAATGTATTCGCAGATGTCTACTCCAGTCAAATCTCACTGGACAAGAAAATCATAGTGCTAAATATATAACACCTCGAAAGCTCAAAAGCAAATATCAGTAAAAGGCACAATGCAGACAGACATAAGAAAACTATACCTGTGCGGGTCTTCTCCTCCTGTACTTTATCAATCACCTGAAAAGAGAAGACATCAATTTAAGGCAACTCAATCTAGGTTTAAGTACCTTCTAGAAGCAGTAAGAACATAAACAGGGACATCTAATGAGTGTGATATCTAGTTAAGTGAATGTATTTGATCACAAATGAACAAAAAGGAGATAGAAAAGAGAATATTCCAAAGACACGGAGTTACTTGCTTCACAAAGACAACAGAGGAAAGTCCAAAAGAGTAAGTCAGTATTCTGGTCAGGCAAAAACCATTCCCTGTGATATCGTCCAAGACACGCTACAACAAGAGGCAAGCCATTTGCAGAACATGGTTCTACAGAAATGCCTCTTGGAGCATATATCAGATTTGGCTAAGCATCATCACTCCAGAGAAAGAGAGAACAAAAAAACTGGAAAAAGACTAGATCAATCGACATATACACAAGAGAATATATCACCTCATCTGGAACCCGGAGGTACTTGATTGTGTTACCACGGATGTAACATTCTGGCATTCTCCAAAACCTGTCTCCGTCCTACAGTGCAATGTATCTGAGTGTCAACCACACAAATTTTCATCACGGAATAGAAACAAATGGAAATGTGTATCTAAATACGAAAGCAAAAGATAACCTTTGATGTACAGATAACTTCACGGAGATGGATGTTCATCCACGTATCACAATTCACCAAATGCCCATTGTAGGTCTCTCCATTCTTGAGCTCCACAAGCTACAAAAATTGTTCAACCATCAAACAGATGCACACAACTTTCATAATGCAAAAACATATAGACCCATATCGCAACATCTCAAACAGTGCTCAATTAATTTCGGCTACATCTAATACAAAATTATATTCAAGGGTCGAAATTTTACTTACCATGGGATGCCCTTGAGCAGTCTTGAGCAGCGAAAGAGGAAGCT